GCGCCGGCCTGGCGCCGCCTGGCCAGCCCTGCTGCCTCGCGTGACCAAGGGCCCCGGGGGTCTGGCCCTGCCCGGTCCCACCGCCTGCCTCGCGTGACCAAGGGCCCCGGGGGGTCTGACCCTGCCCGGTCCCACCGCCTGCACCAGGTACCCCTGCTGCTCCTCATAGAGAACCCGCTCCTTCCCAGACACTCCCGGCACAATTAAGGCGAAAACTCTCGTGCCAGTCTTACCTGCGCCGCCAGCAGGCCCCAGGGCAGGAGGCGGCAGGCGGTCCTCGGCCAGGACTGATTTGCGTCCACAGCCTGCAGACTACCCGCTGGCCCCACCATCGCCGCCACAGCTCAGAGCAGCTGCAGCCCCACGGTCCCTGCAGAGCCCTCAGCACCGAGCTGGCCCTGGAGGGCCCCAGCAGCTCCTTCCCATCCCTGCAGGACACCCTTCTCTCTGGGGAGGGCCTCAGCGCCCCTGTGGCCTGAGTGCGGCCCCTGGCTGGGCTTCTTGCACCTCCAACTCCTGGTCAGCCGGGAGGGAGTGCCCTGCACAGCCACCAGCCGCAGCCCTGCATAGGCACAGCCTGGCCAAAACCTTGGCAGGGCTCCATCCCCTCACCTGAGAACTAGGGATGAGCTCTCCCTGCCCACACAAGTTCACAGGCACGTGGCCAGACCAGGCCATGTTGGTCCCACACGCAGGAAGTGCCAGGCATTGGGGGCAGGCAGGGGCCGGGAGGGAGAGCAGGCCTACCTGGGAGGGCGCTGTCCTGGTGGAGGGCCGGGCAGGCTGTTGGGAGCACAGAGAGGAGGGCCGGGGTGAATGAGAGCAGCCTCCTGGCCTCGCGGGCCCGGCTCTGCCCACCCAGGCCACGGAGGGCCATGCCACGTCTCATCCGCTGCCCACTCATGGGCCTCACAGTCCCCACACCTCCGGGCTGAGGACAGGGAAGGTCTGCCACCTCTGGGCTCTCAATGGAGGGGCAAGTTCCTCACCCCCAGTGGAAGACAGAGCCCAGCAGAGGCTGAGGCCAAAGCTGGGTTTCCCACTGGGTGCTGCCCCCCGAGATGGCACCGGCTGCTCAGACGTGCCCAGACAGCAGTGCCGAGGAGACTCCTGGGTGTGTGGGCAAGCAGTCGGGGCGTGG